CAACAGAATGGGTGTTCCCCTTTTCCTTCACCTGAGGACGGAAACAGATCCAGTTTCCGAAACGTCGTGTTCTTATTTGTTATATTAAAAACTAGGACGATGGATAAAGTCCAGAAACCCAATATATCAGTTCAGCAATTATAGTCTTTGACATGGCGTTAGAAAGTAAGTAAGTAAAGCTATCCCTGTAAGAGACCGTGGCGGCCCATAGGGTTGTGAGACGTTGAGGCTCCCAAATTTTCTAGACAATCGGCTCACAGATGGCGGTAAGGCTGTCAGACTTACGCGTCGGCCGCACTTTATCCAGAAGAATATTCCTGGTACTCATTTCTGTTAGAGGCTGAGTCGACCCCAGGGCCATAGTGCGGCTGGAAGGATTAGATAAATCGAAAAAATCCACCTCATCGGGATTCGATCGCGCGATCTTCCCGCTTGTAGCCTCAATCAAGTATGCTACCGCGTGCCCCTTTGACATTGCGGTGAAGTTGTTTATCAAAAAATCTATTCACAGCAGAAATCACGTAGCGAAACAAAAGGACACTGAGCAAATAATCATATCCTGTAGAGAAATTCGATTCAAATACGGAAATACACTTATATGGCAAAACAATATGTGTAGAAATGTAAACAACAATGAAAATATTTTAAATTTGTTTTCGCACGATCATTTTGTCTTCCAGCTAGAATAAAGTAGAATAATTGAGAATGTTCAAAGCAAAACAGTAAAGCTTGTGAGCTACTGTCCGAGTTTCAATTTGTGAGATGGATTTCAGAATGACTTTCATGTTTATTTATGCCTAAGGGCTGTGCAGTGATCGATACAGAACGGAATGTTAATATTTCTTGTTTACATAAAGTGATTTCAACAGCATAGTAAATGTTCAGATTCGACTGACTCTTAACAAGAATACTGATGTTCAATTCAGTTTCTGGAATATTCTCACCATATTTTCTAGCTTCCCGTACATTTATATAGAGTACTGCTCAAAAGTCAGTTAACTACAAACATTCTTTCATATTAACCGGAATGTTCTGCTTTAAATCTGACAGTCAGTCTCATAACGACATAACCGCGTCCTGAGCCGTGAACTGAACATGGAGCATCTCATTTCGAACAATATTTATAAATTCAATAAGTAAAAGAATAAATTTCTATCATGAATTAGCGTAAACATTACTAACCACTAAATGATTTTGTGCCATCCTGTAAATTTATTTGCAACAGGCAAAGGGACTTATACTAAGGACCTCTGCCAGAAGAACGAAGGACCTGTTGAAATTAAACAGAGATCAGTTAAGATGGGTGGTAGGATTACTTACTGGACACTACCACCTAAAAGTACACCTTTTCAAAGTGGGACTGGCAGATGACCCAACCTGTGAAAGGTGCCTAGAAGAAGATGAATCAGTTACATATCCTATGTGACTGTGAGGCCATAGCTTATTTAAGATTTCATCACCTGACCCACTACTTACACACATACATACACAAGGACCGTGTCAGAGCTCAGGTTGGCTTTCCACTTATGACGTCCGGCTTCGATTCCAGGCCAGGTCATATGGGATTTGTGGCCAACAAAATTACACTGGGACAGATTTTCTTTGAGAATTTCGATTTCTCAGTTCTTATTCCACCAAATGCTCCATACTTATCTATAATCAGGGACTGGTACAATAAGCCAGTTAGTGTCCGACGTACCAAGTGGACTCATTCTCACCCCACTCCACGAAATAAAAAAATAACTTGCGTTCAAATGGCTCGATGCTGCTCACAGCAAATGGAACTGATGCAACAGAAATGTATAAAGTTGGGAAACAATAAAATGGCCAATCACAGAATCGGTTGGCGTAGGGTTGGCGCTCCTGATTCCAACGCTTCCCTTTTATTCTCTTTCCTTTCTGTTGGTTATTCAATGGTTCTCTTTCAGCGTCGGGGCTGTAGGCCGAAGAATGAAGAATTTGAAAGGACTTGGGATGAGGCAATCGTGACCCATTCCAGACACTATCCTGGCATTTGCCTGAAACCATTGATGAAAACCACGGAAAACTTAAGTCAGAGTGGCCGATGTCCAGTCCGAAATCCGAGAGTAGCCCTTGCCAAAATCAACGACAGATAGTTACATCTAGACCAGCCTGTTAGACGGACTTGTATTCATGAGGTATTCAATTCGAATCTCGGTTGGAATTCCAGCTTTGGGGACTGAGGTTTTCATTTTCTTTTTCATTGATTGTTTGACCTGATCCCTGGGGCGGCCACAGTCCCTCATTGGCCAATATCCCCATTTCCTCTACCGCTTTTCCTATCTGCAGCCTCATTTCTCAGCCCTGCTTAATCCTGTAAAAAGGTAAAGTTGTCCCTGTGCTTAACTAATCAAGCACTACGCCATGAAGGCGTACGGGGGAGTGGATGTATACCTAGATTCATGTTTTCTTGTCCTCGGTACTAGTTGGAGGTGAGTAGTTAGCTTCACGCCCCGGCAGCTTTACCCCGGGGAAAGAGCCCCCAGTACCCACTGGATAGGATGCTGGATGGAACCCAGAGCCTGTCTGGACGACGTGATGAGTAGAAAATTCTTGACCCTACCGAGACTCGAACTCCGATCTTAGGTCGTCTTGCCCGTAGCCAGTCGCTATACCGACAACGCTATCCCGTCTACAGAAAGAGGTAGGAGGCTCTTTCGAAGAGTCGATATATTTTTACCAGACCACGTGACATTATACCCCAGAAGGCAATAACAATTCGAACATCATTATCAGCGACAGAAAACGAAACAGAGGTTAACAGTGAATGAACAAGAACTTCTCCCACACACACACACACACACACACACACACACACATACAGGCACACATGCTTGTTTCATAGAAAATTGTCTGATATGCATATTGTAAGTCACACGACGCAATACTGTCAGATAACCACACATATCGCCACCTTGTCTGATGCTTCGCTTGCATTAATGTACCCCCAGTCCCCACTGACA